CACCTTCATTAGAATTGCACACAACAATTCAAGGTGGAAGGCAAGTGTCTTTCTAGCAATTGTAATGCAAAAAAAACCAAGGCCACCCTGAAAAAAAATAGCCAATTGGGATAAAAGGATGCTTTAAGAACTAGTATAGAATGCGTAGTAGCCCATGCCTTTTGAAGTGTCTTTGTTATAGTCCTCAGCATTAATGTCCTCGCATTTCATAGTCGGGGAATTTTCATTGCTGGAAGTGCTAGGGGAGAGCCGTCTTCTCTTGCAAGCACCTGTGTAGACCCCAGAATCATTTGAATCTAGAGACTTTATGGAAGGTGGAGTCTCTATCCAGGATGAGCCGATCTCTTCTTTCACCTTCTCCTTGGAAAGCTGGTCTTCAGAGAAACCTGGAGGGCTTGTTCTGGAGGTCCAAGGTAATCCTGTTGTCATTTTCCTCTGGTAAGAGGCCCTGTTCCCCCAGCCAGCCATGGACGGAAATGTCGGGTCAGGGTAGTATCCCAGAGCATGGGATGGCTGAAGGGGGAGGGATTTAATGCCATAAGGGAGCAAGGTGCTTGGAGAATACTCCGTCTCATAGGAGTTCATGTCCAGTTTGTTGGCACTGGGCTGCTGCACAGGCGTCACAAACCACCGCTGCGGAGAGCTGGCCACCTCTTCGTTCTGCTGCGGGGAGAGCAAGCCGTTTGTCTGAGGGACAGTTCTCTCCCCGTTGTAAAACCTGGCTGGGGGCAGGTTGTTGACAAACTGTTCTTGGAAGAAGGGTTGCACGCTGTATCGGGCACCAGGGACAATCTGGTGGGATCTAGGAGAATCCGTGGGAGATGGAGTTAATCTGTCATTTTCTGAAGCTGTGTACATGCTACAACATAAAGGAGAAATACTGAGTGTTGTTCTTTACAATTCCAGTGTGGCAGTAAAACAAAACCAAAAAAACAGGAAGAAACAGAGTTTGTTCTTAATTAGAATCACACACAGGTTTAACTGGATGGATGTTCATTGTTATCCAATCGAGGAGGTTGCATTGTTTTTCCCTAGAGCAGTACAATACTTACAGTATCGCTGCGACAAGTTCACACTGTTCACCAGCCTCATATTTTAAATGAGGTGCAGCACCTTCCCCCCAGAAGTCATACTTAGATACACACAGCTCCAGCTTTTCCTAGGCTATTTGATACTGAGCAGTGAGCATTAGGCACATTTCTGCTGACAATTTAAAGAAGCTGCCCCTGCTCTGTGGGGACCCTTGATACACTACTGCCAATCTGCAGGCCGGCTAGGTTCTGCCTGTACAAGTTTTCTACCGAAATTCAGAAGCCTGCTGGAAAACAGGTTGAGACAACAGATTTATGCCTTCAAAAGGAACACATCAGATAAAGTTGCCAGTAGTTTACTACTTCTGAATAACAGAGGTAGCACCTAAAGAAACTTAAAAATCCCAGGCCAGAATCGGACAGAAGCATACTTACGAGTCATAGTTGTCTCTGAAGCCTTTCGCAAAAGGATTATGATCAATTTTGAGCTGGGTAATCTAAAAGTAAAAGCAGAATATAGTAAGGTGAGATGCTGAATCTACAAGAATTAATTGTAATTAATTGTGATTTTATACATCTGTGCTTACATCAGTGTTTTGATATGCCGTAACTGCTATGAACTGGGTTTCAGGGAAAATGAACGTTTGAGTCTTTGAAGAATCATTCAGATCTTCAACACCATCTTCAGTCACTTCCACAATGTGAAGCCGGGGCTGGTACTTGTGTAGAGATTGCAGTACTATCATCTAAACCACGGAAGAGACAAGAACTTTAGTTTGTTTCATGTCAGATGCAGTTTGTCTATTTTGTAGCCTGACATTTTCTTCATGTAAATTGTAGTTTTGACTTGGGAATGAAGCAATTTTAACTGTTAACAGGCGATGATTCAAAGCTTGTAGCCTCCTTTTCACTAGGTTACTAGTACGGTAAATGCAGGAAATCAAGAGCTATCAGCTACCCTCCCACTTTTTGAGCAAATGCTGAGATATAACAGCTAAACCCAAAGAAATTCACACATCTATTTGTGACTTTGCTTCTCCATACAAAGACAATAAGAACACAAGGTCTGCTTTCAAGGGCAGGAAGGGAACAAATCACAGGAACAATGATCTAGTGGCTTGATTAACTGCTCTAAAGCCCCAAAACCCCAGGGCTCCCGCGGCTGAGCCACCGAGAGCTCCTCAAGCCTGCCCTTCCCAGCCCCCTTCCCCATTTACCTGAGCGTTGTTGTTGTTGGCACCTTTATTGTTCGTTAGCTTCAGCTTCCCGAAAGAGATCTCCTGCCTCATCCAGTGCGCCCCGGTGTTGGGCGACTCGGGATGCACGTACACCTTGTTGCCTGGGGAAGATGGGGAGGTGAGACGGGCTCCGTCCCACCGCCGGCAGCTGGCAGCGGCGGGGCTGGGCAGGCGGGTGCCCCGCCCGCACCTACCTTGCATGTTGTTGTCTGCTTTGCCGCAAGTCACCCACTTGCCCCCCTGGAAACGCCAGTGGTTGGGGTCCGCCAGCACCACCTCCACGAAGACGTTGTAGTGGGCCGTGGGGTTGAGGCCGGTGATGTTAAAGCTCAGGAAGGGAAACATCCTCCTGGGAAAGCAAAGC